GATGCATTATCGAAAGAACCGGGAAAGGTGGAAAACGAACCTAAACCTGACGAATTAGCTGCGGTTAAAGAGGAAACTGGTGATAAAAAGACTCCAAGTGAACAAGAAGCTTTGGAAAGAGTTGAAGAAATACCAGCAAAAGAAGAATTGCAAACATCGATGGATTTAGTAAGTGATGAAACACCGGTATCAGCTGAAGCTCAACCGGAAGGAAAGGCACCCGAAAATCAACCGCAAACAGTTTATGAGGAACCACCATTGGAAACGGATGGAAGTCCAGTGAAACATGAAGAGGATGCATTATCGAAAGAACCGGGAAAGGTGGAAAACGAACCTAAACCTGACGAATTAGCTGCAGTTGAAGAGGAAACTGGTGATAAAAAGTTTCCAAGTGAACAAGAAGCTTTGGAAAGAGTTGAAGAAATGCCAGCACAAGGAGAATTGCAAACATCGAAGATTGATTCATCGATGGATTCAGTAAGTGATGAAATACCGGTATCAACTGAAGCTCAGTTGGAAGAAAAGGCACCCGAAGATCAACCGCAAACAGTTTATGAGGAACCACCATTGGAAACGGATGGAAGTCCAGTGAAACATGAAGAAGATGCATTATCGAAAGAACCGGGAAAGGTGGAAAACGAACCTAAACCTGACGAATTAGCTGCGGTTAAAGAGGAAACTGGTGATAAAAAGACTCCAAGTGAACAAGAAGCTTTGGAAAGAGTTGAAGAAATACCAGCACAAGGAGAATTGCAAACATCGATGGATTTAGTAAGTGATGAAACACCGGTATCAGCTGAAGCTCAACCGGAAGAAAAGGCACCCGAAGATCAACCGCAAACAGTTTATGAGGAACCACCATTGGAAACGGATGGAAGTCCAGTGAAACATGAAGAGGATGCATTATCGAAAGAACTAGGAAAAGTGGAAAACGAACCTAAGCCCGACGAATTAGCTGCAGTTCAAGAGGAAACTGGTGATAAAAAGATTCCAAGTGAACAAGAAGCTTTGGAGAGAGTTGAAGAAATACCAGCACATGGAGAATTTCAAACATCGAAGATTAAAGAGGAAATTGACGATAATGTGAAGATGTCAAGTGAGGAAGAAGCTTCAGGGAGACTTGAAGTGAGACAGAATAGAGATAAACAGAAAGAATCGCTAGTGGAAAGTGGTCCACAGGAAGTCGGAAGTGTGTCCACAAAGGAGTATGAATGGCCTACAGAGCATGAGTCTAAGCATGAGTTGTTAACAGCTTCAGCAGTAGAGTCCGGGCAAAGTGAAGAACAAGAGCCTTCGAAGGCTAGTATTATCATGCCGTCAACTGCGTTACCAGAGCAAGAAATGAAACCTGAAATGTGTGCTAAAGATGAACTTAGTATAGAGCAAGAACTGTTCGAACAAATGAAGCATGAAAACGAATTGCCGAAAGAATTGGCTGAAAATGTTATCGCTGACGAAGAAGCATCCTTCCTAGAACAGTCAAATAATGAACAATTCGGAACGAAGATGTCAGTGGGAAGTGTTGAGAAAGAATTTCAAGAAAAAGAAAATATCATGCCTCCTGAGGGGCCTGATGAAACAGTTGATAGAAAACTTGTTGAATCATCAGCACAGCATTCCTCAGAGCGGATTGAGGAGGTTATCGAAACATCGAAACAAGAAGAATCATCAAAAGAAATGGAACAGCTGAGTGAAGCTGAAGGAATTGGTGAAGGAGTGGTTGCAGACAAACAAAATGGCGAAATGAAGCAATCTGCCGATAAACAAAAACAGAACGAAGAGGTGAATGGAAAACTGACAGATTCCAAAGTCAGTGAAGATTTTGAAAAGCCGTCTGAACAGGAGCAACAAGTGGTAAGTGATGAGTCAAAATCAGCAAAACAATCTAGTGGTGAGATCGAAATCAGTGCATCAATGGAGGACAACAATGATAATTCAAAGGTGATTTCATTTTAAAATATTTGGCAAGGACATGAATAATTTTGCTTTTTTTCTTTCGATTGAAACTGTTATTCAATAATAGAAATTAGGTTTCCAAAAATCACCATTAAATTAATGAAATATTCAGTGTTTTGGAGTTTTCTTTTTCAGTGTAAATCTAATTATAGAACTTAAAATTAATATTCTACTAATGAAAGCGACTATGCTACATAATCGTTGCATACTCACCGACTAAACTGTTATCATCTTCATAATGCCTAATGATTGTATCTTTGCATTATGATTGGCATGGGGTGGATAGTTCTGTCTTTGTCTTTGCGATGACTGAAGTGTGTTCCCATCCCCACGGAAACGGGTTCTCTGTGTCAACCTTACTTTGCATAATACTTCTCTGAAAATATTTTTCAACAAATTAACGCTGATCTAATCCAGTGCTTATTAATTGTTATGCACCTATTAGTAAATATACTTCTTTAAATTTATGAGTATGTTCTTTTGTCCATAGGCATTTTGGTGTGTTCTCGTGGCGTTCGTCTGGTACAGTAATGATCATATTAACAGTCATAATGTTGAGAACACAAATACGTGTAAGTGTGTTTTTTTTAGAAGTGTGTAATTCATTTGTGCATCGTTTCGAGAAGTATTGGGTCAAGTGAGTTTGATTACGATTTCTAAATGTATCCAATTACATTTGTAACAGAGTCGAATATTATTGAATGGATGGGTTCAGATCCGGAGCTTGAGTTCAACTGCAAGCTTAAGGTGCTAAAGACAAGTAAGCCTGACCTGAAGCGTTAGTCTGAATGTGAGCTTAAGCCAGCCCTACTTTTTACACATTTCAGTTAGCCTCGACACTGAAGGAACGTTAAGGAGCTTAGCCGCTTCATTAATCAATGACAAATGGATATTGAATGAACTTCGTGAATGAGCTAATTTGCCCATTATCAGTCAGTTAAATAATCAGTACACAAAGCTTTATCACACACATTGATATTTGCATGATATGTTATAGAAAATTTGCATGATCATTACACCGTATTTTTTCTATCTTATGTTATTTTATTCACAGCACCATATTGCTTATTTGCACCAATTAGTTAATATCTTTTTAATTTTACTCTATTTATTCGTATCTCTCGTTATTATTACTATTATTATCATTACTATTGTTATGATCATTGCTATTATTATTAATTATTATTAAATAAGATACTTATACAGTTGAGGGGCGATATGGTGCACAGATATATAACGCATTGTAATGCGGACCTAATATGTACTGCTCGATAGGATAACGCATCAAAGCATCAACTGATGGCGTTAGGAAATCGAATAATTCTTCGATGTGTTTTTATAGCGCACCACATCGCCATTAACTAGAAGTACTAACAATCCTACTGCTACTACTACTAATAATAATAATGATAATAATAATAATAATAATAAAAGTAGTAATAACAAAATAACAATAATAATAATAGCAATAATGATAATATTATTATTAATCATATTACTAGAAATTATAATTTTAATGATAAGAAGTGCTTCTTTTTTCAGCAGCCAACTCCTCCTTCTGCGCCAACATTATCAGTTGAAACTAGCGAAGAAATGGTAGTTGAAGAGGTATTGTGATGAACATCATTATTTTTTTATGAAAACTGAACAGTTTGATTAATGGAATTGTTTTACTTTGAAATCGTCAAGAACAATTGCTGAATCTAAACGTTCGTCGTTTGTGTCGATAAAATTCACATTTACTTACACAACCAGCTGTGTTATTTGCCTTGGGCCAAATTTTTTTCGCATAGCTTCCCACCTCTAGCTTACGTCCAACTCCAGCATAAATCTGCTCTTCCAGCTTGTTCTCTTTATTCCCCCCTTTCCATCCCTTCATCAGCTCCATGTGCACCTATTAGTTGGTTACTTGAGAGTCTTAACCATAAGCTAGCTCAACACCTTTCGTCCATCTGAAATGAACGTTTTCTAATGGGATTGATTGATTAGGTGATTCCGCCACCGATCATTCTTGCATCGTGTCCATGTGATGGACCACATAAAAATGGACAACATACACATGCGCCAACAACGCATAAAACCACCGAAGTGATCACAGTTGGTGATGTTCCGACAGAAGAAAAAGGTTATTCATCGTTTGTTTGGATAGACTGTTTATTTCTCTCGTCGCCTCATATTTCAAGATTATTTCGTTAAAAGTGAAAATAAAGACGATTCAGTTTCATTTGACGTTTTCAAGGTTTTAGAATCATTTCAGAAACTAGATTCACATAATGATTTATAGAAACGCAAGCGATCATATTTGAGTAGCAATGCTAATGATTACGTTAATAATCTCAACTTTTTCAAGTGGTCGTCGACAAAAATGTTATAACATTAGACTCAGCCGTATCACCGGAACAATTTGCGGCGAATGTGGCGAAATTGGCCGAGGAACATCCAGAACTGATGAAGAGTGCAAATCTTGAACAACTTGGCGAAGGAGTGACCGGAGTATAATTCAATTTTTATCATTATCATCGTTATTTTTATCACATAATTATGAGTATTCATTCACAATGAATCCTCACGATATTCTTATTGCCACCGTATTGTAGAAGCTGACCGTAACGACATATACAACAACGACCACAGCACCACAAGAAGCAGTAAAAGTAGCGAAGCGTGATCCAGTAGTACTGCCAGTTGAACGTGAGCAGCGTGCTGAAATGTTACGTCAGAAACGAGAACGCGTCTATAAGTTGTTACCGCGTGATATTGAATTTTGTACACGTATGATCGAAACCTATGGTGATGATTACGAGGTATGATTGCATTCATTTTTGTTGATAAATTAACTGCAAACAGCAGCTATTATCTATTCGTATTTTCAGGCAATGGTGAATGATGCTGCAAATATTTATCGAGATACTGCCAAATCGATTCAACGCAAAATTCGTGTTTTCCGTAAAAGTCCTCAGTTTGAGGTCTATTTAAAGTCGAAAAATAATTCGCCTCAAACGTCACCGATACCATCTTCGTGAAGTAATTCAAAGCAAATCAAATAACAGATATCACTTACAGTTGTAAACTACAAGGTCATACAATGATAAATAATCAGCAGTAACAAGAATAACAATACACTGCTTTCCATATGTAATTGAATCATTTTATCAGTTGCTCTCGAGATATATTGATTATTGACCGATTAATCTCTCAACCTATCCATCTTCAAACGATAATTAATCTTATTAATATTATAATTATTATCATTATTATTATTTATTAATATCATTCGCCGTAAGCTTATTCATTAAACAATTCACCGTAACATTAATACTTGTCCGTTTATTTTCCAATACTACTACTTTCAGCCCTTTTTATTTGTATAACTATTATCACTGTTATTATTACCTTGTCAAAAACGAATTCATATAATTACTCATCAGATGAATTAATACGACAATTGATTCAAATCTAATATTACAGTGTCATCATAATATTGCATTCGTTTTTGTTTTTAGTTCGTACAATGCAGCAATCTGAGTTTGGCGTATGCATGATAGCTGTTCGTTCTCGTCCGATATACTAACGATCCAAAATTGTTATCTTGTTTAGATATCTCTTTTTTAAGAACTTTCAAAATGGGTAGTTTTGAAATAGTGTTGTTTTTGTTAGCATATCGACGATTGGATCCGTTGTCATCATATTATCTTACTGTCTTTTCCCTTTATTAGTTCGTTCACTCCAAATTCATTCATATTGCAATCGATGCGATTTCTTCTTACAAGTACCGTATTATTTATCATCATTATTGTTATAAGTTCGTATCACTATCGATGTCTTTGCATTGTATTCGGTGGTAATCGCCATTATTCGTTCCTGTACAACGTTTGCATCATTGCCGATTATCCACTTTCGATGTCGTATTTCCTTTCTTCATTTTTCTGAAAAGAAGTGAGCCAGCCACTCCGGGTTTCTTTTGTAAACTAGATCGAGACTTGATCGATGAGTACGGCGACCTGGTTTTTCCCTACTACTCTTCTATGAGATGATATGAGGCAAAACCGAGTGTGAAAACGGAGTCGTGCACTTTTCATACTGTATGCTGAACTAACGATCATCCTTCGGTAGAGTCAGTCGTTTTTCTCCTACAGCTTTGTTTCTTCTCATAATCCTTTCTCACTCAACTCATTCTTTCCTCTTTTCGCATATTAGTCATTTGTTGTAATTGTTGTTGTTTTCAATTCATTCTTTTCAACTTTTTATTCTTCATTTGAATTTTTCATTCTTCATTCATTTCATTGGTAACCGTTAAACTTCTCCTTACATTTATTCATTCAATCCTCACCTATGATAAAAATACATGAAAATGTTGGCTAATTATCATCGTCGTCTGATGGCAAAAAATTTCACTATTCTGATGCAAGTAGAAAGATGTGATTTACGTTTCAGTCTTCCCATGCAGAATCGACTTCTGAAAATTCTATCCTTTAGAGAATATTCGCGAATAGATAGATGCACGATAGATAGAGAAGTATTTCGAAAAACTTTGTTAACATAATGACTAGCAAAAACTTGTGAACTTTTTCTTCAAATGTTGCAATTATTATAACGCTGATTTCCTTTTGTCCTTATACTTTATGTTGTTACGAGTTATTTCGTCCGGTGCTTGCTCTCGTTTGTGCAATCGTATCTTCCCGAAGAATATTTTTTTGACTGACATCCTCTCATCCCCGGTTCAGTCTTTCTTCTCTTATCATCTCTACAAGCAGTATGTGGCAGTTTAACCGAAAAGGGTGGACTATGGGTCACAGTATTCCTCCTCGTTAGTTTTAAAAATCCGAGAGTATCTACTGAAATCGTTCAGGTGCTACTAGAATCAGATGGAAAATCATTTTGGAAACAGGCACCGTACGTCATCCAATTGCTTCGGTTTTATGAGTGTTCTATTTGTTGAAAAACCGTTCAATCTGTTTTACTCGCATTAAATTTGTATTGTTCGGTTAAACGTTTATAATAAATCTGTTTCTGTGAACACTAATAATCATTACTGTAACAATAATCACAGTGTTTTTTTTATCAATTCTTGATATGATATAATCGTCAGCAGCGTTCAAGAGGAGAATCTTGTTTATTTGTTAATTTGTTTGTGTTATTTGTTTTGTTTTCAAGAATTTAATAACATCTAGATAACATTGTTGAGAATTTTATAACACATATATTCTATGAGTGACCATTAAAAAATAACATTCTTTAGTAAAGGTTTCTTATTATACGATCCATACTTGCTATCGTTACTTTCGGATGCATTTATACTTTATGAAAACGTTCCGAAACGTTTTTATCTTTTTTATTCGTCTGATTCAATTTTTAATTACCGTTTATTTATATTCAGATTCATCATTAAAATTGAGCATTATGGTTGTGGTTGTCACGCTTATTGCCATATCCAAATTACTATTTATTCATTTGAGCAATTAATCGAATAAAAAGAAGAAAGCAATTGTGAGATTCAGTGTACAAGATCAACCCTCACATGACTGAAATTTTTGATGGCATCGAAGACGAAGCGTCCTCTCAAGCCCGGCTAAATCCATTTCACTATGTACTCGTAATATTAGGATTTTAAATGGAATTTCAACACATGCTAATGCTTGGAAATGTTATTACACAAGTATGAATGAGAATAAACGAAAAAATCATTCCGTTATCAAGCTTCTGGGTGGCCATGTACCACAAAGCGGGATCATCACAAACTAGCTAAACATAATTTTCGCAGTTGAATACTCGTAAGATTTGCATGAGTTTTTAATATGATCTTGCTTTGTATTGGTTGTATAGTCGTATATGTGCTGAAAGACCTCCAGGTGATGAAGGTGGTGCTGATGAACGTTTATTCGAAGACAGCGATAAAGATCACACTGATGAAATATTATCTGATTTCGAATATTAAATATTGAGCTAGTTGAAAATGTTTTCAAGATGTGCCTAATGCAAATTCTATGAATTCATGCACACAATCAAAAACTGATGTAGAAACGTGGTTCACGCAACTTATGAATTCATCATGTGGTCGAACAGGGGCACAAAGTGAGGGATCGATGAAAAAAGTGGCCGATGCCGTTCATATAAACAATTGAGGTCAAAATTCATTATGGTTTTGTAATTTGATTCGCTCATATTTCATTACTCGAATGTGGCTGCTGCAATATTCCAAGTTTTGAAGATTTTGGGAAATTCTTTCACCAACTATGAAGTACAGTTAGGGGGNGGGGGAGAACGGCTCGTTTACAACGATTTTTGCGTAATCGTCATGAGATATAAATTGCGAAAACGACGAGTAGAGCAAATGAAAATGAGAGTGGATGTATTGTTTTGTAACGAAATGAATAATTGGAAAAGATTTTTGAACAGTACATTGTATTATATGCAACGATTCTATTCGAACATGGATGACAGAAAATTATAACTTGAAAGGCAATATGCAATAAAAAATAAACTAATGGACGAAAACGATTCAGTGTGGAAATTTGGTGCTCACTTGGTAGATTTAATATATTATCTTTTGCGTAGTCGAAGAACAACACTTCATGACGGGCATGCACCACTCGTTCATTCACTTCGTTTCATCACCAGATTTTTGATCACTTATTTTAGAGTTAAGTTTTCATCATTGAAAGTTGCTTATTTCAAGTATAATACTTAATTGATATGAAATATATATATTTCATTTACTAGAATAAGAAGATATAGACAATATAAATATCATGCGAATTAGACGACTGATCTAAATGATAGATAATTTATATGCTGTGTTGTGAGCGGTGCGAAGTTTTTATTATTATAGACAAACAAACGCTCACACACTCACTTTCATACACATGTGCTTACGAATGTCTATTAGCGTGTTATGAAAAGAGACAACCACAAAAAGACTATGTATTGGAATGAGTTTTGAGTGAGTCGAGCGAATGTGTGATGCATTCTCAGCTTATCAAGAGGATTAGAATGGAGTAAAAACTGAAATATCAAAATTTAATAGGGTTTATCGTGGGATGAATGACGCGGAAGAAAAGGTGAATATGTGTAATCGTCATGAGATATAAATTGCGAAAACGACGAGTAGAGCAAATGAAAATGAGAGTGGATGTATTGTTTTGTAACGAAATGAATAATTGGAAAAGAAATGCGAATGTTGAAGAGAGCGAAATAAGACCTGATGTTGCGGTAGGAAAATGAGATGGTTATGGACTGCAAGAAGAGGAGATTGTCTATTTGAGTATTCGTATGCGTCTGTCTGTGTGTATATGTTGTGTGTGTGTATGTGTGTGATTCGTTTCGTCGTAACAAATGAATGCGAATGTAATTTAGATGTTGTTTATGTACATACATGTGTTTAATGTGATGTTGGTTTTAGGTTTATGAAACGTTATTTCGTCGTATGTATTACATTCTGTAATTTTATTTGTCTATTGCCAGTGTTAATAACTCATTCAGCATTAACAGCTTATTTCATTTTATTGATTGTTCGTTGACTGATTAAACTGAAATTGATCAATTTCGAGTCAGTGTTTTAATAAGTTCGATTGCCTGGTATGGATGATAACGTATCTATGTATATAGTAATATACATGTATACAGTAATAATTTTGTTAGCCGTATTATTTCCTGTTGAATGAATATTATTCGTTGAACATTTTGATGTGATTGTTTCATAAAACTAAGATTTATTCAGCTCAGTTGTTTATTGTGAGAAAGAAAGGATTTATATTTTTTTGTGTTCGCGCGTGTGTGTGATTGGATTGGAATATTGTCGAAATATGGCTCAAAGTAAGTTGAATTTTATTTTTCTTCTTTATTTTCAAAATCTCTATCGTAAATTTTTACTCGTTTGTTCAGCTGACTCGTACGGATCTCACTAGCTACTTTCTATTCATTTTGCTTATCGTTAGCGATTCGACTTGATCTCGTTCGATTTCCATGTCCACTTTTCATTATAAATTTTGAAGTCTACAGAATTGCTTTATTCATACTCCTATTTATTCCTAGTTGTAATATGATGTCTGCTTTATCTCCTCTTTTGTTCTTTAACTATCTAATGTGCATTTTTGACTGTATCCAACGTCTTCTTGAAATTTTTATTATACTTTCAGAAAATCGAATCATGCCACCTTCAAAAATCATTCATTTCAGGACGAAAAGTACCGGAAGGAGAGCTATGTGCGGTTTGTTCGGATTTAGCAACTGGTTATCATTATGGTGTTGCAAGTTGTAATGGATGGTAAGTTTATGTATAATATTCGGTTACATTACGCTTCATTTTTTTGATTTTTCATCTATTATTATTTTGAATGCTATTGTCGTCTGTCATTTTTAATTTCAGAAACAAGAATTTGTCTATCTTTTATGCATTTATTTGCCGTTGCTGTTTTCGTTGATAACTCTTATTCGTGTGTGCCTTAAAAGAGCGTCATCCACATATCTGTAAAATTTTGCTAGCTATGTTTTCTGATCATCCAGTGCTGCAGAAGCTCTTCAAACAAAGAATGAGTTGCTCCACTTTCCCAGTGACCGTGCAGTATGCAGTTTAACTCGTTCGTTCCATTCGCATTCACCTTTTTTATCGTATGCAGTACGCAGTTGAACTCGTATCCCCTTCGAACGACTAATCCACAAGTTTCTTACATTCTTCTAGCAAGTTGGGTAAATACAATTCTTCATCACCCTATGTTTCGCCGGACAAATATTCTTATTGTATTTATCACATGGCGATTTGGAACCCTTGAGATGCTCTGCATCTTCCAATATACATAGAACTTGTTCTTGTTATATTACATCAATTTGTTGTAACTGAGTTGGAATAAATCTCATGAACTGTGCTTGACTTCTTAGGCAGCTTTTCTTGACTTCTTAGGTAACCTTTGCATATCTTGCCTGTGATACTCTTCCCTTCTATGTTGCACGAGCGGTTTCACCAAGTGTTCTGGCAAATCTTCCTCTCACATTGATTATCTTTTAAAAATGAGAAATGAATTGTAGGAAACCAGCCATATCAGTTACATTATAAAATACCACTAGAGGTCAACGAACGGTTTTTCTTCTGCAGGTGAATTCCTCTATGTTTTCATCGAACCGATCGATGCCTTTCTTTTCGAAATTGTAGTCTAAGTAGTGGTATATAGCTTGAGGCAAGCAGTAAGTATGTAAGTTCAAACAGTACCATAACTCTTGTAACTAATATTTAACTGGAGTATGACGTTCCTACTAAGCCAATGCATATACGACGTTGAAAGGTATTTCTGTAATTTCAAGAAGTTGCACAGAACTTTATTTCCTGAATTTCTTCTCAACAACAGTCATGTAAATGTATTATCAACATTCTGGTCATGTCCTTGTAACCGCTTTATTTAAGCATTTGAATGTGTGCGAATTATTACCAAAATATTAAACATACATGGGTGAGGGTTAGCAAGATTCCTTTTGGGCATCATGCGAATCGAAAATTTCTCTTCAAAAAACTTTCTTATAGTTGTATTTGTTTCAGTAAAACATTTTTTCGACGTACAATTGTATCGGATCACACGTTTATATGCCAATATCAAGGCAATTGCGACGTTAATAAAAGTTTGTAATTTTTAAACTTTTCTGTTATTCATTACTCTCGCTTTTCATTCCATATTCTTCAATAACACCGTGATTGTGCTCCAGTCTGTTTGACTGTCTCAAATGAATATACTGTAAATAATTCTTATCGCTTATTGGGGTCTTCGTTTATTTTTCCTTGCAGATATACGTTGCGCATGTCGTCATTGTCGATTCAATAAATGCGTGGCGGTTGGCATGGACGCAAAAGGTGAGTAAGTGAGTTGTGAAAAAAAAAACTATCTTCCCCTTTCTTCATGCCAAAATTTTGTTCATGCCAAGCTAAGAAGAGTGGCTGTAAAAATGTTTCATAAATGGTATTTAGTAATAGCAACCAATGCTAGCAGTTTGTTAATTTTCCATTGATACGTTCATTTATGCTATCATTCAGTTGCAAATTTATTTGTCATTTCATTTTGCGGGCTACATCTAATAGTGTTGAAAAATCCGCTGAAACCCATTAATGGTCGGATGCTTGAATTTTTTGAAGTTATATATCTTGATTGATTAATTGCATAAGAAATTTGTGGAATTTTATCCAACCGTTTAGCATATCAACAAAAAAAAAACATTAATTGAATTCAACAGCTCCCTTCGGTGTTACAAATTTTTTGGCCAAAAAACATCGGTCGGCATATCTCCAGTCAATGACCTCCTTTCTAAAATGTATTTTCTTGCATTAAGGGAGGCGTAAACAATCCATCAATGAAAGGTATTCTTGATAGACGCTTGGTTCAATTTTTACGAACACTTGAAATTATGTCCGCAAAATGGGAGCATTCGACTTTAAACGGTTAATATTCAGCCATTCAAAACGATCGGGATCGAATCGGTCCAACGAAAAAGATGAAATTAAGTACACAAAGCTCTGAAGACGATAGTGCGATGATGGTGAAATCATCTGAAGAAAAGGTTGCTTCATTCTCTTTCTTTAGATTGAATTTCATTTGATTTTGTTGGAATCGGATGAAGATAGGTTGATTTTTTATTGAAGTTGGTTGTTTTGTGTGTAGTAAATCCATCTGAAGGTCCACTTCATTGCACTGTGCGAGTGATCGTGTTCCCGTTTTTTAAAAAAAATTTTTGGCGTAAGTATTTGAATCACTTTGTATATTTTTTGAAGCTGATTGAACATTTGCACACAATCGAGAAGCAGTGTCTCAGACTGCGTCAGTGCGTCCTGTCTGAGATATCTGGCCTGAAAGATGCAGTCGTCGGGCCGTCACTGGTCTACGAGGTAAACAATCTCGAAATTGATGTAAGTTTAATACTCAATATCTTAGTCATTGTTCATTTATGTTTTTAGCTCATTTGCTGGTTTTTGCTCTTTGATCTTCATCACTGTTCACGCATGCCATCATGTAATTCGTTTCTTTATTTGATTTAATCGCCTTCGAGCCGTGGCATTCACTCGAACTGTTAATTAATTTCGAGAAAAGTCTACAATTTTTAGTCATGTAATATACCATAGAGCTATTTGGATGTCAGCTGAACTTTATTCTGCTTTACTGAAATAGCAAATAAGCAAAAATAATTATATTGATAATCTCATGCAATCCCGTGATCTCGCAAAAGTTAATTTTATACCGATATTGGGCATTGTATTTGAATGTTGAATGAATGGGCAATCTTTCTGATCTGTCATCGCCTGCACTCTTCCGGCCGTTTCCTGCGTTTTTAATCACTCTGTACAACTGCGCTCTTTCCTCTCTATTGCGTCTAGTCTGTGTTGACTATCACCTCCATTCTCTGGATCTGTATAGGTTACATAAAAATGAACATTTTTTTGGCACAGTTGATAATTCTAAGCCTTTTTCAAATAATCTCACAATTATCATAGTTATTATTCAGCCATATACAATAAAGGGCGATTTGTATATGGCGAATATGAAAGATATTCAAATGTGGAATAAACGTGAAATGCGTGTTGCGTTGGAATGGGCGAAAACTTTCGATCTTTTTCAACAGCTTAGTAAGGATGATCGAGTACGTCTTTCTGTTATTTCATATTTTTCATTCGTTTATTAGTTGGTTCATTCATTAATATCGTTATTGGTAGCTTGTTTGTAATTTATACTTCAAGATTTTTATTTCAGGTAGCCCTAATTAAGAATTTTGGATTTACGTTTAATTTACTGAATCGAAACTACTATTCAATCGATCAAGATAACGACAAAATCGTCCTTCCGAACGGTGCATATATACGACGCCAAGTACAAGACGAAGTAAAACTACCCGGATGTCGGTTGGTGGTATTTATTTCTTGAAGTGGATATGAGGGAAAGTGGTGAAGGTTTTCGGCTGGAAAAAGTGCTGGATTTCGTTTGATTTTGTTTTAAGACAGGACTTCTTGTTTCAGGACAATCTATCACCGTCAGATGGATGAAATAATGATACCGTTTAGACAGCTACAAGTGACCGTACCAGAATTTGCGCTTTTTAAAGCCAGCGTCTTCTTCAATCCAGGTTAGGCCTTTGTTTTATGGGAGAGGAACTTTCTGAATATGGAATCGATGATGTGTTTTTAATTTGCTTTTCTTTTAAGATAACTTTACAGAATGAAGAATTTTAAAATTCCAGATGCTATTAATCTTTCACCTGCGGCCAAGTCGCAGATATACGCGGAACGTTCCAAATATTTATCGGCACTATTTTCATTAATAACTTCAAAGAATGGCATAACGGCGGGTGCACAAAAATATGGTAGTCTCCTAATGATGGCTTCGTCCGTCCAGGTGATCATATCTGATGAAATGATATTATGTACTTTTTGTTTTTGATTGTTTGTCGAAATTCTTTTTTAAAAATATTTGCAGAATATAATCGCGCAAAATGAAGAAAATATGCAAGTGATGGATTTCTTCGAAGAAAATTGGAAGATGGATAATTTCGTGAAAGAAGTTTGTTTAAAAGATCCCTAGAGATTGAGGGAGGAAGCCGAGCACTGGCCATTGATTGAAATGTGAACCAACCGACGCGGCGATGGAAAATGGCACTGAATGTCATCATCGTCAGCTCAAGGCCAGTCGAGAAAAACAATTCATTTGTACACTACGTGATACCCCGTTCAAATACAGGTCGACAGCACTTCTCAGTTGTATATTTTTCCTTTTTTTCCATCTTTGGTTTCATTCTGCATCATTCGAGATTTTGTATTTTCCTTTTTATGTGTTTGAGTTTGGTTTTGACTGAATGAAATGAACAGTTGTAACTGGTATTTCCCGGTGATTCATTGACAGGTGGTGACAAAAAATGGTAATTATTGTATGTAAGATTGGTTGTTATATATGTGTATTGTTTCAGATAGATAGATATTTTGGGAAAAACTGTTGATCAGAGTATGCATGAAAGAAAGAAATTTTTAAGAATTCAAATGCACTGCTAAATTTTTAGTTTCGATTAGTGCCTCTTCTAAGCGAGATTGATTGAATGAGCAGCAAATATGAACCCATTCCTTATTTGTTTTCATTTTGTTTTGTTTTTCCCAAAATGTATGTGTGCCACGCAGAGATATATTGTGATAAAATCTTTTCTGTTGTACATAGTTGTTCAATATTAATTTACATTAATTTCATCACGTATTCTTGATTCATTATTTTTGTTCATCTTCATTTGAATTATTTCCATAATATTTTTGCCTTTCTATCATTATTCGTTGCTTATCTGCTATATTTTTATGGTTATTTGTGGAAATCTCGATTTATTTTTCATCGAATTGTTAACCCGGTTCATTTGACGTATCCCAACAATATATGCTAGATATCTGTTGAAATACTCATCTTTAATCCATTCGTGGGTTGTATATTAGCCGAATGAGTACTTCATTCGGGAATTCTGTGTCTTTAAATTGTTTCATCCTATAATACCTAGTCGAAATTAGTTGGCTAACTTCTATTGAACTACTCACCGTCATTCTGGAAAACTGTCTTTTAGTTTTCATTTTATTCGCTTATATACTATTTCAAAAAATTTTATGTGTGATTTATTTGGTTTATTGAAGTGAACTATATGTCATATTCTTTCATCATTCTATTCATTTGTAACTGAGAAATGCATCCTAATTTTCAGCGATCCGGTGATTTCAATGTAAGAATGCGAAAAATTAAATATGATTGTTTTTGTTGTTGCCGTTGTTACTGTTGTTATTACTGGTTGATTGTTGTTGTTGACGACATATTTTCGCATTGCTATACGTTCTGTTATCATTATAATTCATTCGATTTGTTGGTTTGTTTCCTTCATTTGAAACGCTTGATTCAGTATCATTTTAAGTCTTGATTTTTCATTCTCTTCAAATTGTCTATGTGTAAATAATATAATGTATACACACAGATTTATTATGCGTACAAGAGAAAAGAAGTATGATATGAATATGGACAGAATTGTTAATTCGTTCGTATAAAATGTTCATCCAGTAAAAAACAGTCGTCGCATATACCATTTCTATTTTTCAGTTATGTAGCATTTGTATAATTTTTAAACAGAAAAAAGGCGTTTCATAATGCCCTCACAAAACTTGTACTTTTCATCCAGTGATTAAACAAAACGAAAATATTCTTGCATCTCTCGCAAATTTTTCATTTTGGAGATTTGTTCGAATCTTCCAAGATTCTAACTGTACATTTCTGTCGCATTTTGTTCCATCTTGCCATTAGCTGTACGATCAAATAGTTGCAAAATTTTGGAAACTCTATCGACGAAAGGAAGAATGATTGATGGTAAGGAGAATAAGTGAGGATGATGAGTTGATTCCGCGGAAGATTTTAGATAGGTAGAAAAATATTGCGCTTATTGGTTGATCGAATGATGCGAAATAGGATGACAAAAAATTTCCTAGTAGCGCAGTGTTGTAGGAACATGGGAAAACTTGTATGGACGTTGTCATGAGGTTGACATCATTACTTGAACGATTTCATGTTGATATGTTGAAGATGAACAAACTTGGATGATGTGTGCGAAGCCATAGGTATTACTTTTGTACTTATTTGTCTCAGTCAGTTCAAGTCATCGGATTTCGATCCTTTTCAAAGAGGTCAGCAATTCGTTTTCCTTGCCTTTCTCTTGCTCTTCTCTCAGTCAGTTGTCGTTTTCTTTGAGGATGACTTTGTCTCATCTTTGGCAATTGCGTTTTTCAGTAATTCTAACTAAACTGACTGATAAAGTCATCCTTGATATCATGAAATATCAAATTTGAGTATTCTCAGGTGAAGTAATCACAATACTTTTCCATTCCGTCAGTTGAACTGCTCGAATTTTTATACTGATATGTAATGTAGGCATAAAAAATGTATTAAAAATACACAGGTAGTAGTAATACACATAGTATGAAAATGCTAGTAGCAGAATAGTAATATTTGTGATGGAAACGAAACATGAACAAGCACATTATACTATTGGATGGTAATGATCGTGCTGGCTGCTTGTTGTGGTGATGTGTCATTGTGACCTAACCTCTACAATCTGTATAATATTAGTACGCACTTATGATATTGAAGAAGAAGAAGAAGGAGAATGCGGCGAGATGTATCCTACGCATAGATCACATTTATAATGCATACGTACACATCTTATTTATTGACGAACGAACAGCATTCTACTAGCATCATCTTATAGTTAGTGTTCACATTTTCTCATTCAATAGCAATCGATCTTAGCGCTGATCCTTCTATTATTATTATCGTTGATTTTGATGTTATTACCATTTTATCATTATATTTGTCAAACTTTACTCATCATTCGCACAGTGAGAGATTGCTTTTGCGATCATCCAGGGCGATCGGCAAAATGTTCATCGTTTTTACGATTATTGAGCTGTGTTATATTATGCAAAAGCAATGGACATCAATTATATTGATTGTGAAATGTTTAATACTATGGATCTATTTCATTACATTAATTGTTTTAATGAAGCAGATGATTCCTTACGCTAATATCATCAGCTTCGCGGAAAGGGGGATGTTAAGGAAGGAAGCATGCAATAATAATGAAATTGGTGATAAGGAGAGGTTTAAACTCGTAATTCGTATTAAATATCATGACACTGCAATTAGTATCTAAATTACATTAATTTTAAAGGATTCATGCTAAGATTATGAGTTTTATGAGCATACTTTGATTCTTGGGCGCCAAAAGTTGACAACTTGAAATTTATGCAGTTTACACTGAGTTAAGTCGTAGCTGACTGACAATTAGTCGGAACAATTGTGCTAACGTCATAAGTGATTTGATGAGGTTTGCGTATTACGAATGTAAATGATCTGATGAGTTGAAAGTGAGAATATTGATAGGAGAGTAATGGATTGTTTGTTGAATTGAATGCTTGTAGAAGATTTTACACATTCATTTGCTATTCATAACATGATCGCGATACTAATGGACAATCTTTTTCTTATGATAGGACGCCGAACTAGACACCAACCTCAGGCTGATGCTTAGTGTCATGTGTTGGCTGAGGCTCCTTATCGTGGAAATTTACCTGAGACACCCTGGGACTAAAGTTCATCCTGGGTTGACTGAAGCTTAGTTTCTCGCGAAGCTTAAGCTCATCGAGAGTTCACGCTTGTAGCGCTGCCTTCTTTCAAAAACACACTGACAACTTTATTAACATAGCAGTGTTTTTTTTGTTATTCTTGAATTTCGGCACTCTCAAGATGAACCAACTATAGGTGAGAAGCATTGCGAAATACTTAGTTGAGACGATTTATGAATTATAAGCAGTGCTATCGATATCGCGTGTGTCCCTGCACATGTTGATGTTTCTTTGTGAGTCTCGCCAAGTGTGTGTGTGTGCACAATCACTCAATTCCAGAACTTGCGATCTTTCACCTTTCGCATTCACATTTGCGGGATAATTTAACCAATAATTTTTCGTTTCATAGATGTTTTTGTGACGATGGGAGACATTCCATGACACTTGTTGTCCACCTGCCGTTATCTCTCATGTGGTCAGCCAAGTCAATCCTTCCACGTTTTGAGTTCGATAATGTCCGTGATACCATACGCTGTTTTCAATGAAATATTCCTTACTTCGAAATAATATCTTTTAATGAAATAATCTACGTACATCCGAAAATTCTTTTATCGCCGATATGCAAGGTGCAAATTTATTTGCGATACATGCAGGAAGTAGATTCATATAAAATAGTTAAAAAGTGACGTCGCCAATTCTATGCGTGTCCAGTTACGAAAACCAGAACTTGTTTTAAAACATTTGCAATGTGTTTTGTGTAGTTGTGGCACGTTTCGTTAATATGGCATGGCTAGTCGCCAAGTTACTTCGCATTTTTATCTGATGAGTTATTTGGACTCCCCGAAATGTATATGACTGCTATGAGAGGCAGCATCAAATTTCTGAGGAAACTTGAATAGAAACAAACTCATATTATTGAAGCCTTGCACCAAGTTTATGAAAGCTCCTTGCCATCCAGAGTCGTCACCTTTGCATGGAACAAACGATTCAAGGAGAGCAAGGAGAATCTTAAGGACGATTCAAGAGCAGAGAAACCATCTAGTGTTTAAAAACTGATCAAAACCTTCCAGAATCAGACGACCAGTGAGATTGGTCAGGAAGTTGGGATTTTTCGTGGTTCAGCTCTTTCCATTCCAGCTGAAAACCCTGGACTCAGTAAAGCTTTCCGTTCGATATGTTTTAAAATCGTTGCACAAAGGTTGGTTACCTCAGGATTGTAACCATTCGATAGCCTTTTTTCAAGAATGGAAGCCAAGGAAAACGACCTCTTTGATGATATATAACAGTTGATAAAACACGGAGTTAGCAGTACGAAACACAAAGCAAAATTCGATGACTGTTAGTGTAGAGAGTGACCCTGTAAAATTCAAAACGGAGAGTTCCATCCACAAGGTTATGGCAGCAGTTTTCTGGAGAACGGAAGTGATGATTTCTATGAGTTTACTTCACGGATGGAGAACGGTAAGCGCAGCCTTTATGAAGAAGTTTCAAGAAAGTTCAAGATGGCACTGGCTGAAAAACGGAGAGGGAAATTGCATCACCAGATCCTAACCTATCACAACAATGCCTTTGCAACGACTGTTGAATATTCCACATACTGCATGTAGCGCCACTCCGGATCCTTCCGCTCTTCCTATTCCCAAAACTGAAAAATCGTTTGTAGGGAACAAGACGAATCGAAGCCGATAGTTGTTAAATGGTCAATGTTAGATGGTGTGTTCCTTTAGAATTTTATCGCGGAAGAATTTTCCGGTAGAAACATCGCATAAAGATGTTTATAGACCTAAACAGAGGATGTGTGTAGAAGTATACGTCGTGTTTTGAACACTAAAGATTTCATTCAATTTATCTTACAATTGTTGACAACCCACCATATACGGAGGAACGTGTGTAAACCGTTAATATTTGAGTGTTTCGACGGGGCTGAGCCAAATGAGAATTGTGAAATTTGAATGAACTTTGCAAAAGAATGAAATTGGAACAGTGTGATGTATGGTGATACAAACGTGTTCAAATAATAGAAGGAAATGAATTAAATATAAAGAAATTGATATGAACCAAATAGTAACGAATATTTTAACATTTATAATTATATTTTAAAATGTATGTTTATATATTTATTCATATATTTGTATGTAAATAATTGTATTGTTGAATAGTTAGTTTGTTTTTGAATTGCAAGGGGATTGTTCGATGAAACTTCTTTTAGTTGAAGGGAAATAGATTCATTCATTTACTGAGGATGATAGCAGTAATAGAAGATAGTAAAACATGTTCTAGTTATTCATTTTGTTTCTCATACACTAAATTCCTTGAATGCTTTCTTCCAGTTTATCCATCTATCTCTT